AGGTAGCTAGCTAGATATTGACAAGGACAGACAGACAGACGTACAGACAGACAGACAGACAGATAGATAGATAGATAGATAGATAGATATGAATGGACTGAGATATATAAATAGATATATAGCAAGATAGATATTGACTGAGATGTACACACAATGGATATTGACGGAGACACAGATACATAGATAGATAGATAGATACTGACAGATATATATATATATATATATATATATATATATATATATATATATATCATCATCATCATCATCATCATTAGTCCCTTAACTGCTTCAATCACCTGTTGAATGAAGGAGACGCGCTGTGGTTGTTGATCCGGGTCTTGTACGATTCGGCATGTTGTTAGTTTGATTCTTCTTCCTCATGATCCTTCCAGTGGGCTTTCAGATAGCTTGATGGCACCCTCCCCTTTTCAAATGAAAAGAGTTCAAAATTAAACAGTATCCAAAACACATAGCGTAAAAGGAAACCGCCCGCCGTACAAAATAGCGTCGTGCGTAGGAAAGTTAGTGTTTGGTAGAGAAGCGCAAACACTTACCATATTTCGAGGCCAGATCAAGTCGAGCCGATCTTCATTCAGGTTTTCTTTTTCGATAGATAGCACGCGGAATACAAACACTTTTCCGAGACAAGAGTTACTTTTCTCCCTCCACGCCATACTCTCCTACATCCGGAGCGGGCGTTCGGATTTTCTCGGGGAGACGACCACTCTCTTATTCTCACGCCTCTCGATGAGTTATCAGGCTCTGTGTTGTCTGATTCTGAGGACAAACTGAATGCGTCTCTAATAGTGACTCGCCTTTCTCTGTCTGAGGATGCACTGTTTGTCTCCTTTGCTGACGTGCCAGAACCCAGCAAGGGGTGTAGGGAAGCAAGAAGCGATTATCTCAATTTGGTTTAGAGCGAGCCCCGCCAGTTGCTTTTTATTCCGCCATACGTATCGGACCAGGCCAGGTGCTATTTAAACATCGGGGAAAACAAACCCACGGTGATAGAACGAACTAAGGAACCTACATTTCAACAGGCACATAAAACAAAACATCACCGACAATTTCCTGTTTGGAAATATTACAAGTAAGACCCTCTCTCTTTTACCCATTTCACATATTTGTATACATATGTTATAGTTTCTCTGTATGGGACAAATTAGTGATATGTATGCATATATCAGTATAAAAATCTCTTTGTTAATAATGCATGTTTGTTTTTCCATTCTTCCAGCAATTTGGTTCCGTCCGTTTTATTATGATATATCATGGATATATTAATGCCTATCAGGGAAATGGAAACGTAATATTCCCTTTTTGGAAAGCACCACCATTCACGGGAAAATAACTTCACATAGCGCGGCATTCTATCAATAAGAATAACAATAGATTCCAGTGACGCATCCTAGTCTATATTGCGTCGTGCATCAGCTCTGTATGGCTTTTACACACACGGGCTCTGCCAAGTAGTACGGTGCTTGCTTTTTATTGCGTATGGGCGCAGCAGTCACGGCAATGCCTCTCAGCCTGGCTTTGTCGAAGAGTATCATACTAAAGAAGCCTTTGATGGCAGTACATCGTCTTTTAGTGTGACATTATACCAATTAAAATATTAACAAATGATCCTTATTTTGATTTGTTTTAAAAAGTCGACGAAAATATTTTATAGTCTGCATGTCGTTAAGTTATCCGAGCGCTGAGTAGGCTGGGTGTGAGCTCTCCCGGAGTTGAAGTTTTATGAAAATGAGTCGGTGGTGATGAGTCGTTCTTCACCCTGCTGGCGAGAAGTAATGGATTCGTATCTTTCCCAAAGGGTATTTACGCGTACTTGAATGAAATGAACACGACTAGAATTCGAAATCTGAGATACCGAGCCGATATCTCATCCCCAAAGTCCTGAAGTAATTTACCGCGGAAAGCGGTGTCGTTGTCGGCGAGAAATTCGGCCTTAAAATGGTCATTATACTGGCTACTGCTGAGGTAGCTGTCTACAAACAGTAAACCCCGTGGGACTACAGTCAAGGAACGTCAGTGAGTTTTGCCATCATAATGAGTAATGTCCGTCGCCACTCGACGCCATACGTCACTCAAATCTATTAGAAAACTCGAAGTCGATCATTAAAAAAAGTTGTATAAAAGAATGGAAAACAATGTTCAGGCAAAAGACCTCTGGAGAGTAATAAGATCTGCTAAAAAGTAATATTAAAGATGGAACAGAAGAAAAGCTAACCAAATTCATAGATAGATGTTAACATATATATATATATATATATATATATATATATATATATATATATATATATATATATATATATATATATATATATATATATATATATATATATGTGTGTGTGTGTGTAGCCAAAATATAGCTTCTTAAAACCGAAAATAAAATTGACAAAACAAAATAACCATAACAGAATACAAAATAATTAAGAACTCTGAAATATATATATATATATATATATATATATATATATATATATATATATAGATAGATAGATAGATAGATAGATAGAGGTATAGATACAGAATGAAATAGATACGTAGATAAATAGGTAGATATGAAGAGAATGAGACAGAAAGTGAAATAGATAGATAGATAGATAAATAGATAGATATTAACACACTGAGATAGATTTGAACAAAATGAGATAGATTTGAACAGACTGAGATAGATAGATAGATAGATAGATATGAACACACTGAGATAGATTTGAACAAAATGAGATAGATTTGAACAGACTGAGATAGATAGATAGATAGATAGATAGATAGATAGATAGATATGAACACACTGAGATAGATTTGAACAAAATGAGATAGATTTGAACAAAATGAGATATATATATAGATAGATAGATAGATAGATAGATAGATAGATAGATATTAACACACTGAGATTTGAACAAAATGAGATAGATTTGAATCCATAGTCCTAATAAATAGTTTAAATGCCCCACAAAAAAGTCGTCAAAAAACAAATGCTACGGCAGTTTTTTATATACCCAAAACCCTTTCAGAAAAAATAAAAAATAAAAAAATAAATAAATCTCCATAGACACGTAAACCAGACTAGGCGAATTCATCTTCAGTTTTAAATTTAGACACCACGACATTACTCTGACTTGGCATCTATGAATGTAACTCTATACTGATACAAATTATTAACACCCTACACCCCTTTCTATTTAAATAATCGCTCTAGCCGTTACCATGGAAATTTTGATTTCAATAATGAATATGCTATTAAAACACGTAAATTTCAGAAATAAGTTATTCCAAAAAAAATTCGCTTGAAGATGGAACAGAGCTTACTTTAATTCAATTTAATTCAAATAATTATATTGAAGTTTTCGGCTCTTGTTTTGAAACATCAGAACTCTTATGTAGCGTGTTGGAATCATAATATATATATATATATATATATATATATATATATATATATATATATATATGTAACAACACTCGTCTCGGAAAAACCTTCGGTTTCTTGATTTGCTAATGGTCAAATGAATCTCGAAGGAAAAAAAGGTTTTAAAAAACAGAAAGAGCTATGAACATGAACGTCTGTTGAAAATAATCATACTGCATAGAGGTCCAAAGCCCAAAGAAAAAACCCCGATACGAGTAATGAACTAACTTAAAAGTGCTCAATACAAAAGTAGAGCAGACCTAGTCAAACCTAGAGAGCCAGACAAACCTACCAAGGTTTCACCTAAACGGGTCCCTGACGATTTGCTTAGGTGAAACCTTGGTAGGTTTGTCTGGGTCTCTACGTTTGACTATATACATAAATCAAATAAGAACAAATCAAATATAAATTCAAACGTTCATAACATTGATTAAAAAAGATGGCTCCATATAACAGTAGACCGGTTATTAAAGGCTATAGGATGGTGCTATCATTTACTACTGCATGATGAGATGCGGTGATATTATCGCCAATACCACCAGCAGTTGTTCTGTAATTCTTCAGATCAAAGGCTGGCTGGCAGGGAATATTCGGGAAAAAAAACATGGCCGCCTTTATACACGTCGCATTGAATATTTTGAGCCTTCTGATTGGTTAACCCTTCTATTGGAGAACTATAAAATGAGTCAGCTCATTTTGGCTGGCTCACTAGTACACCAGGGTACCCAAAAATTCCAACATGTTGTAGATAGTATTTTTGATAATATATAATGACCATCTCCCTTCACCCGTTTGCAAATATACTTGTGTTCGGTGACTTTATAGGGACCACGGTGGAGTAAATTATAGAGGCTCGGATTGAGAACCCGGAGAGTTCGAATTCCAGTCGAATCCATTACATTCACTTACGTGCTAATACTCTTGGGAAAGGTATGGATCCTCTTCTTCTCCCCCCTAGCTATGAGTAAATAACAGGACAGACCGGGTTGTCAAACCCTGGATGGCAACTGGCCTCCCGCAGAAAGAAATGGCAACCTACTGCGGGAAAAAAAATCTGCCTTGTCAGTCATGTATGTGGGTCTACTTCATCCAGGATTAATTTGAGTGATGCATGTGGGTCTACTTCATCCAGGATTAATTTGAGTGACTTTGATAGTTTTCAGGTTTCTACTTTGTTCGTTGTAATTTTGGGAGTTGTTCTCGTTCCTCCATTTCAATATTTTATGTCTCACCTATATGTATCGTGATTTCTTGCTTGGCTTCTTATTTCCTATTCTTGATTTTCCGTAAAATAATTCGGTTAATATTCGTCAGTCATGTATCGAAAGATACATGATCGCCTCGTATCACGCATGGCACATAAATGCCTAACTGACTTTAATACACACCATGCCAGGGGCTTAATTACACTGTCACTGACCTCGCTAGCATCCGAACCCTGAACTTCTCAATCACTCATGAAAGTGGTGGACTTTCTCATGAGTTTCCCCAGTAAGCTGATGGACATGGATTCAGTAAAATGTTGAGTTTGGAGCCAGATATAGATCAAATATGGATCGGAATCCGACAGATTGATAACATAAAGAAGTACCCAGTCGTTTTCATATGTTTTTATAGATGTGTGTCTGTTATATACAGTGCCTATGAACATTAATGTCCCAATCCCCATAAATACGTTGGATTCTAATGTTAGTGGGAATGATATGCTGTCTAAGTAGTTCCCCACGAGCAGTGGTTTACCTACTTCACGAGGCTGGCGAGTATTGTAGTTTGTTGATGTTATAAAGATTACCATTTCATTTCCAACCTCTTTTTTGGTTATTCCTCATTCATTTTCTAGGTTACAACACTTTCTTTTTTCCTTTTTTTTCCCTTGTTTCTTTCTGTTATATACAGTACCTACGAACACTAATGGGTATTTCCTAATCCTCATAAATATGTTGGACACTATTGTAAGTGGGGGTCTAAGTAGTTCCCCACTAGCAGTGGTTTACCTACTTCACGACGCTGGCGAGTATTGTATTTTGTTGATGTTATAAAGATTACCATTTCATTTTCAACCTCCGTTTTGGTTATTCCACATTCAATAACATTTTCTCGGTTACAACAGTATAAAAAGTGTCCAGATAATTTAGTTGCAAAATACAAGTGCCTGTTATTTTCTAACCACGATTTTTGTTGCGTACTAAGAATAAACGTTACTCTTATGGTCAGAAAAAGAAAAGGAGCCGAAACTTTGATTGACGTACATGGTGACGACTTGTCCGTGTTGACTGCCTGTCCGATAGTAAAATTGCCTTGTATTTGTGTGTAGAGGGGAAAAGTATGGTCAATTTTCATTGGTTTAGAAAGAGGGAATTAATGCTAATTATAACTGCTATGATTGTTTTTTTTATAATTATTTTCGACACTATAATTAATTTAAGAGAGAGAGAACAATAAAAGAAAAGTAATTAAGAAAATAACTATTGACAATGCATTTAAATCTTTGAAGATCAAAGCTGTTTGGAAAGCAAGAAGCAAGAAAAGAGTTTGCACAAGCGAGATGGGCGAGAAAGGAAAGTATTAGCATAAAACTTGTAGAGGAGTTATAACTGTGAATCAATAATTATAATCCCCCAAACTTTTACATATACGAAATACTCGTAAATAGGAGAAACAGAAAGACGTGCAAAACAACAAAACGAGTATTATTTATTATCTGATTGTTATGTGGTGTTGGAAACCTGGGAGGCAGCAAATTGGTAAAATTGTGAGTTTCTAGAAGGAATAATAAAAGAACAGTAATTAAGAACACGGGAGATAATGATTAACACTATATTTAAATTTTTGATGATCAAAGTCGACTGGAAAGTGTTATGGTCCGGTTCCTTGTACTACGGTGATAGTCCAAGGTAGAACCAATAAAGAAAGAACTCGAACGGAATAACACAGATATATTACAAACAGGAATATATACAGAGAGGTAGAAAGTGTTAGTACGAACAATCAGGTTTAGTAGTAATTGTCTGAACGCGACTCTGTTTTCGGACTGCCTCTGACTCGACTGACTGACTCGCTCGCTCTGACGGACTGACAGACTCCTGACGGACTTCACTCCAGACTTCAGATTGAAATCAGACTTCAGACGGAACAGTATTTAGTCACCCCCCCCCTACTAGGGCATCATGTGGCAGAAGGCCGGTTTAATGTGGGATCTCCGAGCCCAAAAATATGCCATTTGAAACCGTATAAACGGGTTCACCTCCCCGAAAGAGACTGCGCCCTTCGGTGTAGCCTCGTTCGGGTTCCTCCCCGCCCGAAGGAAGAGAGTTCAACCGATCAGCCGGTCAGCCGGTCGTCCGACTTCGGACTGAACGGTATTTAGTCACCCCCTCCACCACGAGGGCAGCATGTGGCACAAGGCCGGTTTAACGTAGGATCTCCGAGCCCGTGGGCTCGGACAAAAATATACCCTTTGAACCCGTATAAACGGGTTCAGGGTCGGTTTACCTCCCCGAAATAGACTCCGCCCTTCGGCGTAGCCTCGTTCGGGTTCCTCCCCGCCCGAAGGCAGAGAGTTCAACCGATCAGCCGGTCGCCCGATTTCGGACTGAACTCCCTGCTTCCTCTTGAGGCGCAGTATTTATTACGTATGGAATAGTCCATTATATTATTATGGGTAAGGTCCCATAACAGAAAGTAAAAAAAAAAACCCAAAAAAACCGGAAGTGTGTTCCACAAACGAGAAGTGCGATAGAAGAAACTGTTAGTATAGAACTTGCGGTTACATCTGGCCGTTTCAAATGTAAAATGATGAAAACTTACCACTAAATTCATAAAGTCTAGCTATGTTAAAGGAAAGCTAATCAGGAAAATTACCATAAAAATATTTACAGAAAAAACACAGAAAACTGGGAAGTGAATGTAGCCGATATACCAGATCAGGACCAATAACATTGCAAAGTCTTCTTTGGATCAAGTATCTCTAAACACACAGCAGAAGCACCGGGCCAGTTATGACAGTAATATTCCAAGCAAGGACGAATAGTAGACTTATAAATATGTAAGATAGATTCTGGTGAGAAAAATTGTCTAGTACGACTTAGTGAAACAAATTTCTGACCATGCAATTGGTTCAATCTAATCTTTACACTTCATGCCAACGGAAAACGTTAGTCAAGAGAAGTCACAAAGTGTCACTCTCCTAGAGGTTAGCATCAACCATTTTTGAAGGCATAGAAGGTTCTCTCAGGCATTTAAAGGAGAGCAGTTTTGTTTGGGAGGCGCTAAAATTGAACAAGCCATCATCTTGATTCCATATTTTCACATCCCCGCCCTCTTGTGTCTGCGAATTCTCAGCTAAATTTATTTTGTCACCAACTGGTGTCAATACGCTCTAACCGCGCATGCGCATAGACACACACGCACAACCACAGAGGAAGGACGTTTTAAATGAAGAAGAGATGCAACATTTTAATGTGTCACCAAACCAAAGAGTTTGCTGGAGAATCATGAATGATAAATAAAAAAAAAACAAAACAAAAAAAATGAATAATGGAAGGGAAAAGACAACAAAATAATTAGATCAATAGTCAAATAATAATAATAAAAAAAAAACAATTCCCAGTTGGACTATCTTTCGAAAAGTCAATTAAATTAAATAACCCTTGACCAACTTGTTAAATAGCGATTTAATTAAACTTTGATTATATCCTCGCCATATTGAACTTCTATTGCAGACGTTTTATAAAAATGAAAAAGAAAGAAAGAAAATATTGCATCCATAAAGAAGCGAAAGAAAAAAAGAACGTGGCAACGAAAACTAAAAAATAAATGAAGAAAGAAACATGGAAGATGGACGAACGAACAAACGAAAGAGAAGAAAATGAAAAAAAAAATACTGGAAAAAAGAAAAGAATAAAAAAAAGGAAAGATGAGTAAAAAAAAAGATATAATGGGCGATCGAATGAAAGAAAGAGATAAAGAGAGAAAGAACTGACATAATTAAAAATATCTAAAGAAAAAGAAAGAAAAGAGAAAAAGAAAGCAAGAATGATCGAACGAACGAACGGATGAAAGAAAGAACGAAAGAAAGAAAGAATGAAAGAAAGAAAGAAAGAGAGATTTGATATAAATAAAATATAACGAAAAACAAAGAAAGAAAAAAAAAGAAAGAAGAAAAACGAACTAACGAATGAAAGAAAGAAAGACAGAGAGAAAGAGCTGACAAAAATAAAAGATGATCAAGGAAACAAAGACAGAAAAGAGTAATAAAGAAAGATGAAAGAAAGAAAAACTAAAAAGCGATCGAAAGAAAAGAAGAATGAGCCGACAAAATAAAGGATGATAAAGAAAAAGAAGACAGAAAAAGTAAGGAAAGATGGAAGAATGAAATAAAGAACCAATAAAAGATAAAAGGAAAGAAAGAAAGAAGCTGGTAGGATAAAGAAAATCAAAAATAAATAAAAAAACGAAAGATGATAGAAAGAATGAACGAAGGAAGGAAAGAACGAATGAAAGAAAGAGCTGACAAAAATTCAAGATGATATAGAAAAAAAAAAACAAAGATAGAAAAAGAGTAATAAAGATGAAAAAAAGAAAGAATAATTAATCAACAGATGAACAAAAGAAAGAAAGAAAGAGCTTAGAAAAATAAAGAATGATAAAGAAAACGATAGAAAGAAAAGAGGAAAAAAAGATTAATAAAAGAATGAAAGAACGAACGAAAGAAAGAACGAACGAACGAACGAAAAACGTACGAAAAAATGAGAGAAAGAAAAAATGAAAGAAAGAAGAATGAATCAACGCACGAATCAAAGAAAGAAAGAAAGAAGAGAAGTAAGAGCTAAGAAAATAAAGAATGATGAAGATAACGAAAGAAAAGAGTAAAAAAAAGACAGATAAACGAAAGAAAGAGACAAAGAATGAAAGAAAGAACGAACTAGAGAAAGAATTGATTAAAAAATAAATAAATAAAAATACATGAATGAACATTTAGGTGGTTGAAAGAAAGAAAGATGAATGAAACAAGTAAAAATATATCGAAAAAATGAAAGAAAAAAGAATGAAAAAAAGAAAGAGACAAAGACAGAAAGAAAGAAAGAAACAAATCAAGTAAGAACTGGGAAAAATAAAGAATGGCGAAGAAAAACAAAAGAAGAAAAGTGTAAAAAGATAGTTAAACAAAAGAAAACACAAAAGAAAGAATGAGAGAAAGAAAGAAAAAATTGAATGAAAAAAACGAAGACAGAAAGAAAGAAAGAAACAAATCAAGTAAGAGCTGGGAAAAATAAAGAATGGCGAAGAAAAAAAAAAAAAGAAAAAGAGTAAAAAGATAGTTAAACAAAAAAGAAACACAAAAGAAAGAATGAGAGAAAGAAAAGAAAAAAATTGAATGAAAAAAAACGAAGACAGAAAGAAAGAAAGAAACAAATCAAGTAAGAGCTGGGAAAAATAAAGAATGAGGAAAAAAACAAAAGAAGAAAAAGAGTAAAAAGATAGTTAAACAAAAAGAAAACACAAAAGAAAGAATGAGAGAAAAGAAAAAAAAATTGAATGAAAAAAACGAAGACAGAAAGAAAGAAAGAAACAAATCAAGTAAGAGCTGGGAAAAATAAAGAATGGCGAAGAAAAACAAAAGAAGAAAAGAGTAAAAAGATAGTTAAACAAAAGAAAACACAAAAGAAAGAATGAGAGAAAGAAAGAAAAAATTGAATGAAAAAAACGAAGACAGAAAGAAAGAAAGAAACAAATCAAGTAAGAGCTGGGAAAAATAAAGAATGGCGAAGAAAAACAAAAGAAGAAAAGAGTAAAAAGATAGTTAAACAAAAGAAAACACAAAAGAAAAGAATGAGAGAAAGAAAGAAAAATTGAATGAAAAAAACGAAGACAGAAAGAAAGAAAAAGAAACAAATCAAGTAAGAGCTGGGAAAAAAAAGAATGGCGAAGAAAAACAAAAAGAAGAAAAGAGTAAAAAGATAGTTAAACAAAAGAAAACAAAAAAAGAAAAGAATGAGAGAAAGAAAGAAAAATTGAATAAGAAAAAAACGAAGACAGAAAGAAAGAAAAAGAAACAAATCAAGTAAGAGCTGGGAAAAATAAAGAATGGCGAAGAAAAACAAAAGAAGAAAAGAGTAAAAAGATAGTTAAACAAAAGAAAACACAAAAGAAAGAATGAGAGAAAGAAAAAAAAATTGAATGAAAAAAACGAAGACAGAAAGAAAGAAAAAGAAACAAATCAAGTAAGAGCTGGGAAAAATAAAGAATGGCGAAGAAAAAAACAAAAGAAGAAAAGAGTAAAAAAATAGTTAAACAAAAGAAAACACAAAAGAAAGAATGAGAGAAAGAAAGAAAAAATTGAATGAAAAAAAAACGAAGACAGAAAAAAAGAAAGAAACAAATCAAGTAAGAGCTGGGAAAAAAAAAGAATGGCGAAGAAAAAAAAAAAGAAGAAAAGAGTAAAAAAAGATAGTTAAACAAAAGAAAACACAAAAGAAAGAATGAGAGAAAGAAAGAAAAAATTGAATGAAAAAAACGAAAACAGAAAGAAAGAAAGAAACAAATCAAGTAAGAACTGGGAAAAATAAAGAATGGCGAAGAAAAACAAAAGAAGAAAAGAGTAAAAAGATAGTTAAACAAAAGAAAACACAAAAAGAAAGAATGAGAGAAAGAAAAAAAAATTGAATGAAAAAAAACGAAAACAGAAAGAAAGAAAGAAACAAATCAAGTAAGAACTGGGAAAAATAAAGAATGGCGAAGAAAAACAAAAGAAGAAAAGAGTAAAAAGATAGTTAAACAAAAGAAAACACAAAAGAAAGAATGAGAGAAAGAAAGAAAAAATTGAATGAAAAAACGAAGACAGAAAGAAAGAAAAGAAACAAATCAAGTAAGAGCTGGGAAAAAAAAAAGAATGGCGAAGAAAAACAAAAGAAGAAAAGAGTAAAAAAAGATAGTTAAACAAAAGAAAACACAAAAGAAAGAATGAGAGAAAGAAAAAAAAAATTGAATGAAAAAAACGAAGACAGAAAGAAAAAACAAACAAATCAAGTAAGAGCTGGGAAAAAATAAAGAATGGCGAAAAAAACAAAAGAAGAAAAGTGTAAAAAGATAGTTAAACAAAAGAAAACACAAAAGAAAGAATGAGAGAAAGAAAGAAAAAATTGAATGAAAAAAACGAAAGAAAGTAAAAATAAAGGATATGAAAGAAAAAAAGAAGAAAAGAGTAAAAAATACACAAACAAAAGAACTAAAGAAAAAAGAAAGAAAAAAGAAAGGACGAGAGAAAGAAAGTAGGATTGAAAGAAATAAAAATAAATGAAAGAAAGAAAGAAAGAAGAATGAATCAACGAATGAATCAAAAAAAGAAGGGAAGTAAGAGGTGAGAAAAATAAAGAATAATAAAGAAAAACAAATGAAGAAAAGACAAAAAAAATGGTAGATGGATAAAAAAAATGGAAGGACGAAAGAAAGAAAGAACGAGTGAACGAAAAACGGATGAAAAAATGACAGAAAAAAGAATGAATCAACCAATGAATCAAAAAAAGACCGGGGGAAGTAAGAGGTGAGAAAAATAAAGAAAAAGAAAGAAAGAAAAGAGGGGAAAAGATAGATGAACGAAAGAAATAAACAAAGAAAGAATGAACGATAGAAAAAATTGATTAAAAAATAACTAAATAAAAATAATTAAATACCTTAATGAACATGTAGACAGATGAAAGAAAGAAAGCGAAATCAAACAAATAGAAAAAGAAAGAAAGAAAGAAGGAAGGAAAGAAGGAAAGAAAGAAGAATGAATCAAGGAATGAAAGAAAGATAGAAAGAAGATTAGATCAAGGAATGAATGAAGGAAAGAAAGAAAGAAAGAAAGAAATGAAGAGCTAACAAAAATAAATGATGAAGAAAAACAAAAGAAAAGAATAAAAAAAAGATAGATAAATAAAAGATGAAAGAACAAACGAAAGAAAGAGCAGACGACATAAAGAGAGAAAGAAAGAAAAAATTGAATGAAAGTGCTGATAAAAATAAAGAATGAGTATGAAAAAAGGAAGAAAAGAGTAAAAAAATATACAAAAAAGAACTAAAGAAAGAAAAAAAGAAAGAATGGAGAAAGAAAGTAAGTTTGAAAGAAAGAAAAAATAAATGATAGAAAGAAAGAAGGCAAGTAAGAGCTGAAAAAAATAAAGAATAATAAAGAATAACAAAGGAAGAAAAGAGTAAAAAATAAGATGAACGAAAGAAGGAAAGAACGAAAGAAAGAATGAACGAAAGAAAGAAAGAATTTATTAAAAAAACAAATGAATGAAAAATAATTAAAAAAGTGGACGGTTGAAATAAAGAGGAATAAAACAAAACAAAAATTGAATAAAAGAAAGTAACAGAGAAGAATGAATCAAGGAATGAGTGAAAGAAGAAATGAATGTACGAAAAGGAGAAGAAAAATAAGAACAATACAAAAAACTAAAGGGAATTAAATTACCAGTATAAAAAGAAGAAAGCATTTCTGTAAACAAAGACAAAATGAAGGCGCCAAAATGTAACAAGGTTCCATGTAAAAACGTGTTGAATGCGAATCACTTTACCCTTGCCAGGATCATGTTGGCATTGACAACTTTATCAAAATTCACTTCTATAGAAATCATGGAAAGAATTCCTTAAAAAAAAAAACCCAAAAAAACAAATACAAAAAATGACAGATGCAAAATGCCACAGACAATATGAAGATACCAAAACCAGACTAGAATTTTAATTCACCGCTGATTTTTTTTATTTCTTTTCCAAAATTATCGAAGATAAAAAAAAAAAAAAAATACTTGAACGGTAAAAATATTAAATCGATCTTTCGCTGTACATTGCAGTTATCGAGAAAGAGAGAAAAAAAAAATTTGATGATCGCTATAGCAACGTTTTCATATAAAATAGATTAGGTATTCGTCTATTCGGAATTAGCACTCTTGGAAAACAAGTGATCAAATTTTTTATTTTATTTTATTTTATTTTTTACAGTAAGCTTTACCCTGTACAACCGCCGGGGTCCTTTCGTGGTAGAGAGTTGCGTTAAGATGTAGTTTATATGTATAGGAAGGGAAGATAACAGTTGACTCTAGACTTGAACATGTTAAGATTGTAGTGATCGGGGAAGCATCCTCTTGGGAGTCGGTTCCACAAAGTAAGAGGTAAGAAGCAGAGTTTATGAGGATATGTGGGGAAGATAACGGTTAACCCTAGACTTGAACAGGTTAAGATTGTAGTGATCGGGGAAGCATCCTCTTGGGAGTCGGTTCCATAAAGTAAGAGGTAAGAAGCAGAGTTTATGAGGACATGTGGGGAAGATAACGGTTAACCCTAGACTTGAACAGGTTAAGATTGTAGTGATTAGGGAAGCATCCACCTGGGAGACGGTTCCACAAAGTAAGAGGTAAGAGGCGGAATTTATGAGAATATGTGGGGAAGATAACGGTTAACCCTAGACTTGAACAGGTTAAGATTGTAGTGATCAGGGAAGCATCCTCTTGGGAGTCAGTTCCATAAAGTAAGAGTAAGAAGCAGAGTTTATGAGGACATGTGGGGAAGATAACGGTTAACCCTAGACTTGAACAGGTTAAGATTGTAGTGATCCATCCTCTTGGGAGTCGGTTCCATAAAGTAAGAGGTAAAGCAGAGTTTATGTGGATATGTGGGGAAGATAACGGTTAACCCTAGACTTGAACAGGTTAAGATTGTAGTGATCAGGGGAAGCATCCTCTTGGGAGTCAGTTCCATAAAAAGTAAGAGGTAAGAAGCAGAGTTTATGAGGATATGTGGGAAGATAACGGTTAACCCTAGACTTGAACAGGTTAAGATTGTAGTGATCAGGGAAGCATCCTCTTGGGAGTCAGTTCCATAAAGTAAGAGGTAAGAAGCAGAGTTTATGTGGATATGTGGGGAAGATAACGGTTAACCTAGACTTGAACAGGTTAAGATTGTAGTGATCGGGGAGGCATCCTCTTGGGAGTCGGTTCCATAAAGTAAGAGGTAAGAAGCAGAGTTTATGAGGATATGTGGGGAAGATAACGGTTAACCCTAGACTTGAACAGGTTAAGATTGTAGTGATCGGGGAAGCATCCTCTTGGGAGTCGGTTCCATAAAGTAAGAGGTAAGAAGCAGAGTTTATGAGGATATGTGGGGAAGATAACGGTTAACCCTAGACTTGAACAGGTTAAGATTGTATTGATCGGGGAAGCATCCTCCTGGGAGTTCCATAGGGATGTGCTTCGCCGGTAGGAGCTGTTTGAGTGAAACATGCTTCGCGCTGATGGAATAGGGAGGGAATGAGGGTGGTTCGTTACTATGTAAGTGATACGGTGGAACCTGGTGGAACCAGGAGATGCAGTTCTTCTGAGCACTTTACATGGTAGAAACGATAGAAAAGTGAGAGACTCACCACAAGGAACCCGTCCTATTAAAAAGTTAACACGTTCCAGATGGCCCGGCTGGTGTTTAGTGACAACACAATCGAATAGTACTACTGGGTCGTAGAGCAGTGTATGTTATTAAATCAGTGACCTTTTTTGACACTGAAACTCGATGGCGTTTTGTGATAGCCAAGGTTGTACTCCAAAAGTTAAGCAGAGTACTAAGAAAAAAAAAACAATCTTCTCTTGCAAAAGGAAAAGAGTACTACATTGTTGTGTGATATCTGTACTCTATGTATCTCTGGCACTGAGTGCTGGGCAATCTCCTCAAGGATGAAGAAGAGACTTGAAGCAACAGAAATATGGTTTTACAGAAGGATGCTGGCGGTACCAAGCACCGAATCTGTTAAGCAACGATGAAGTTTTAGAGAAAATGGAAACTTTTGTAATGCAGGTTTTAGGAGAGACTTTGTAAATCACAGATACAACAATAGTAACGAATCCCCCCCCGCTCACCAAAAAAAATAAATAAAAACTCGCTCAGACGCAGCCAATTCCCATATATATTTTTCCTTTACCTGTCACGTGATCTAATTATTTCAAGATGAGGTCGACTGTGCTTGCTCTCTGGCGAGTCGTGTTCAAACACAAGTGTCGGCAGCGACACTTTATTCCTATATGACAAACAAAAAAAACGAAACTTATACTTAACATCAGGAAGAGACAGATGAGGTTTCTGGGGCATATAATAAAGAAGGAGGGCTTGGAAAATCTGATACTCACAGGGCAGACTGAAAGAAAGAGAGACAACGGGAAACAGTGCATGACATATTTACTGAGCTTGAGTAAATGGCGGAAAAGTTTGAGGAGAAATAACAGAAAGACAAAGTTTATTAAGAGCTAAAATAGACCGGAAATTGTTGAGAGCCATGATCTCCGACGCGCTGAGGAGACACAGCATATAAAGAAGATATTAATCAGCCATTTTATATTGCAGTGAATGCTGGACAAATAAGCTACAGATGAAGAGGGGAATTGAAGTAACTCAATGTAGTTTTACAGAAGGATTCTGAAACTATCATAAACAGAGTAACGAGGAAGATTTCATGAAAATGCAAATAAGCAGTTAACGAAGAAAAAATACTCATAGTAATTGAAGGATACTAGATACAAAGAAACTACGCACACAAAACATCCTTTACAAATCGTAAATACGCAAACAGTACAATCTTACTTATTATAAAACGCAGATTGTGTGTGTGTGTGCGTGTGTGTGTGTGCGCGCGCGCGTGTGTGTGTGTGTGTGTGTGTACGCTTATATATTGGATCGGATTTCCTACATTTTTCAACCGATTTCAACAAAACTTCACAGGACTACGTAGAACTACCTTGCGGTGGTTCTAACAGCGCCAAAATTTGGAAAAACGCAATTGTTTTTGCACGAAAACAAGAATCATACTTATTATAAAACCCAGGTTGTGTGTGTGTCTGTTTGTTTATATATTGGATCATATTTCCTACATTTTTCAACCGATTTCAACAAAACTTCAAAGGACTACGTAAAATTACCTTGCGGTGGTTCTGACAGTGCCAAACATTTGAAAAACAGAATAGTTTTTGCACGAAATCAATTTGAAAACACGATTAAACGATTCTGTCACCAGAATGAAAGGAGGACGACTCATATCGAGTTATACTTATTATAAAACCCAGGTTGTTTGTTTGTGTGTGTGTGTGTGTGTGTGTGTGTGTGTGTGTGTGTGTGTGTGTTCGTTTATATATGGGATCGGATTTCCTACATTTTTCAACTGATTTCAAAAAAACTTCACTTTTTTTGGCAGGTAGTGTTTCTTATTGTCTTGCACACTTTTTTCTTTATTTTTACATTCAGAATTCTTTAAAAATTCCATTTACAAGACATTTGCTTATAATAAAATTCTATTCAATCGGTAGACTTATAACGATTGAAAACAATGTTTTTGTTTGAGTTTAGGTTTGACCAATTCGTAAAAAAAAACAAAAAACAAAAGAAAAAACTAATTAAGACATGTGTGTCAGTCAACCTTAAACAATAATCTTTGACAATGTTATTTTTCAGTTTTTATGATGGTCGATACTTGATCTATCTCTTACTGTTACATCCCCGGGCAACGCCGGGCTCTACTGCTAGTACTTTCTAAATATATCTGGGAGATTACAAACAAAAAATAAACCACACCAAAAATATAATGGAAAATAAGAATAACAGCATCAACCTACAACAATAAATCCAAAAACTGTAAAAATTCTCAGGAGAAAATAGCTTCCCAGACAAACACAAACTGCTAAATAGACGATCAGAACAAATTTCTACTAAGTTAGTTAAAAATCGAAAACTAAAAAAAATTAAAAACGAACAAGCATAAACAAAACTACATAAATAAGAAAATAAAATAAAATAAACAAAAATAAATAAATTTATCCAAACCAATAAATAATTAAATGAATTAAGTAAATAATAAACAAAATAACAAACTATGAACACACCCAAAAACACAAGTAAGCATAACAATAGCAACCAACAATAAAATAATCAATAATAAATAAACAAAAGTTAACAAACAGCACTATACATATACAGAATACAGCATCCGGATCAAAAATTTTTTCCACCCAATAGCCTAGAATAAATCGAAACATAACCGTTACCGCCCAGCAAAAATAACCGTTAAAACAATACAACAGACTATCCACAATACATCAGTGACCTATTATCAAAACATATGGTCTGACGATTGCGTATAAAAAAATCAGACTGTCGCTGGTCTTGACTCTTGATGTCCCACTTATATATATATATATATATATATATATATATATAATATATAATTATTGTATATGGAATGAATTCCAATAACCAACAATTACTATTCTTAAAAGAGTGCTCAATACAAAAGTAGAGCAGATATAATTATTTATTTAGAAAATTTATAACATAAACATGTTATAAAATCACTACAAAAATAGCCATGTTGTTTCAACACTACCGGTGTCTTATCAAGTGATGATGTTGATGTTGAATGCAAAATAAATTTGTTTTGCATTCAACATCATTGATTTTTTTAGTGATTTTAAACATGTTTATGTTTATTTTCCTAATAAATAATCATATATATATATATATATATATATATATATATATATATATATAGTAAATGCGATCGTGTATCAGTGTGTCACACTTTTTAAACTTTACTAGCCTAACGTATACCATTTTGGAATCAGATCGGAAATTTGGATTCTCAAGGTTCCATTGCTGTGATTTTATTCCGTGACTTTTTTAGACGATTTTTTTTTTGTACGTTATCAATTTTTATAACTTGGAAATAAATTTGGGAATAATCGAAATTAACTGCGAAATCCAACGAAAGTCACCCATGCAATAAAAATAATCGTTTGGACGGAAAGTAACTACATTAAATTGTTTTTAAATTAAGTGACGAAAGAAACATCGTTGAACTTTCAAAAGGCAAGCTTAAATATCGATGCAATACTTATATGAAACAATCAATTTTGAGTTACTTTTGAGTTGAATTATTTTCTATTTTAAAATATAGTTCCATCGCTACACAGGAATTACCATGTTTCAAAACAAAAATTAAAAGATTAAATTTAATTATAAAATTAAATTTAAAATCCATAGATCCGTTCCATTCTCAAGCGATTCTTGGAATGACCTATTAAGAAATTTACTTCATTTATAAGCACAGGTAATTTTAATATTTTAAATTGTTAAGGTTACGGAAAATTCAAACATTTTGATAAGGGGTAGTTGGGTTTTAATTTCCCTAGACAACTTAATTATCAAATATAAGTTACTTTTAAAATCAGGATAAGTTAAGTTTGGGTAGGGGTGCCCGTTTACAAACAATGGCATCCGTTTTTTGCGTGTCGTCTTCGTTTTTCAATGGTAAAAATGTATGGGGAATGCGACAGCGCTATGGATCTTAAATTTAATTTTATAATTAGATTTAAAATTTTTGTTTCTGTTTTGAAACATGGTAATTCCTGTGTAGCGATAGAACCCTATTTTTAAAATGTTTTTGTATCGAGCACTGTTATTTAAAATAAAATAAAAATAATTACTATGAACACCGGATTTTGAATCTCACTGTTCTTCCTTATATATATATATATATATATATATATATATATATATATATATATATATATATATATATATCTATAACCATTGTATTGAGCACTTTATTTAGTTATTGCGTACTCCCATCAGGGTTTTTTTCTTTAGGTCTTGGACTTGCATGCTGGACGATTATTTTCGGTTAACGTACATGTTCTTGGTTCTTTTTTTTTTATACCTTTTTTCCCCTTTGGTATTGACATTTTATTGCAAATCAAGACACCGAAGGTTTTCAAGCAGTATAGTTTCTTATACTTATAAGATTTCTATTATTATTATTATTATTATTATTATTATTATTATTATGTAATAATAATAATTATATATTTATTAGAATACAAGTATTTAAGTATCTATAAAAGAACATTAAACATAAAAATGTCTTTAATAAATAAATTGTCGGACTTTGTCCATTTCTTAATATATATATATATATATATATATATATATATATATATATATATATATATATATATATGTATATATGACAAAGCTCCATGACAAAAGCCAATGCGAGACGAAATGATTATCTAATCACCAATGACAGTATAATGTCGTTCAACGTTTTTCGCCAATCAATAATTTGGAGCACAATCGACAAATAAAGATGTCATCATTTAAAAAAAAAGAAATCGATATAGTTCTTGTCTGGCCTTTTACAAGAAACTCGTTTTCTATCTTGATAAGGTAACCAAAATGTGTCGTGTATTGGTTTTGATGCCACCTTTTGATTCCATAAGCAAATTATTCACAATTAGCGACGAAATGTCGCAGTTCGTCACGAGGAAGAAACGACGGGTTATCTGAGAGGCGAGGCTTCGCGTCAAAGCTGACGAGTCGCGAAGAGCCAGTATTTGAGAATAAGACTGGCAACGAGAAATACGACGCAGATAGAGACAGATATATATAAAGATAGGGACAAATAGAAGAATGGTTACAAAGAGACTGAAGAAAGATATATAATTCGAACAGAGTGAAATAGATAGATAGATATGAACAGAATGATATGTACATAGATAGATAGATACATACATACATATGAACAGAATTATATATATATATATATATATATATATATATATATATATAGACACAAATAGATAAATAGATATGAACAGAATGTTACATACATAAATTCCAGTTACAAAAAAAAATACAATTCTTTAAAGGTCCTCAATACAGAGTAGAGCAAATATAATTTATTCGAAAATATGTTAGAAAATCACTACAAAAATAGCCATTTTGTTACAAATCTTCTGATGTCTTAACAAGGGATGATGTTGATGATTTGTAGTGAATTTATAATATATTTATGTTATCATTTTGGAATAATTTACATATATATATATATATATCTGTCTGTGGATGACGTTATATTGGCTCCTGAAATATCAATTTCAGTTGAGCTCTCTGGGGACGAGGTGTGGGTTGGTAAACAGTGACTATTATAGCTATATAGCGAGACTCTTCGCAGATGCGAATTGAGTCACTATCGGTCACTGGGCGTGTTTCTAAAAATAAATACGCTAAAAATCAACTTTCATCCTACCGTGCGCCGACGGCAATGGTTAGAATCACCAATTCAGTCGGGTTTCGATCCTAGCTAGAGGCAACCGGATGTCTAGCCACACTGATGAGCTGTGAAACAGCGAAACAGTCTGTCTGTGGATGACGTTATATATATATATATATATATATATATATATATAGATAGATAGATAGATAGATATGAACAGAATGATATATATATATATATATATATATATATATAGAGAGAGAGAGAGAGAGATAAAATGAACATATGATATATATACCTACATTCTGATGAGCCTAAGTAAAAACTGTTGTATCTTTGGAATGATTAAAGATATCTTACTGGAATTCTTAGAGGTTTTATGACACTATTGGACTCTACATTGTGCAATAAGAATGTATAATTACTCTGCAAGCCTAACAGAAGAATCGTGATGAAATCAATCAGAAACGAAAATGACATGTTCATCATTAATTAATCATAGCTAAGGATCAAGCTCATGATGAAATAAAAGTTTATATACATATATATATATATATATATATATATATATATATATATATATATATATATATATATATATATATATGTCGGCCTAAATCAACCCATATAATAAAAGAAAATAATACACACACACACACACACACACACACACATATATATATATATATATATGAAGTCAATCAATTATCACACCATGATAGCTTTTTAGTTACTCCAGCAATTTTTCTTCTGATGTGGCTTCACAGAATCGGAAATTAATTAAAATTGGCATATTGCGCATTCGTTTTTTTTTTTTACTAAGTATTGCGACGATAAGTGCATCTGGGCGTTGGCCGAAACGGAAGAGAATCTGTCAGATGACGTGTTTAAATAGCTGCCGCCGGCTTAGTTGGTCATTATCATTATTTTAAATAAAAGCTAAAAAGAAACTTCCATATTAAAGCTGTTAAAAACGAACCAATATTTAGCAATCATCATATTAAAGTTGTAAATAAATATATTTTTTTTCAAGAATTAGCTCTCATTCATTCGCCAGTTCTTATATTGTCTCAGTTTATTCGGGGGCCATGTAGCCAAAAGCGTTCCTTTTTTTTTTTTTTGTTTTCTTTGTGTTTCAATAACTAGGACCGGTTTTCATAATAGGCTTCGACAATTTTAACGCGTTGTTTGATTGTTAATCTTTCCATGGTTGAAATTGTCAGAAAAAAACTTACGTTGTAAAATCTAAACGAAAAAGAAAAAGAAATCTTTAGACGCTTAAACTTAATCCACAGATCTCAATCCGATTATAAATTTATGGAGAGAACTGAAACTAGGAATTCAAAGAAGGAACCCACAAAACATGCATGAACTAAAGAAATTTTATCGTGAAGAATGGAAAAATATTAGCAATAAACATGCAAGAAATTCATAGGGTACTTTTCTTTTTTTTTTTTAAGCATTACGCTCCGAGCAAGGGGTGAAGCCACTAGAATGCAGGGGGTTGCAGAAGATTTGGAGCGAGAGCAGATAGGAGTGATAGAAGAAAGGATGAGGAGAAGGATAGTGGATAGATCAAGGTAACTGGAGATGTCGATTGACATTCCATTTGAATAGTTGGAGATTATAGCTCTCAGGGAAACAGTAATTGGGAAGGGTGTTCCACAGGCGAGAGATGCGAGGTATGAATCTATTGGAGTAGAAGAGACGGCTACATTTAAAAGTTTCTACAGTGAAAGGGTGAGAGTGGGATGCCAGCTTCGTAGGGCGCTTGAATTCATGAAGTCTGGGAACCAGCGAATGACTCTCCTCGGAGCAATTACAACAAGTATATGTAAAAAAGACAGAGAGAGGCGACGGCGCCTCTGTAAGAGAGCAACTGTAGACGAGATGCCAGATCAGGGCCAATTATATTACATATCCGCCTCTGGATCTTGTCAAGAACTCCGAGGTAAACAGAAGGTGCACCAGACCATATATGACAGCAATACTCCATGCAAAGGCAAATGGTTGATTTGTATATTTGAAGTATCGATTCCGGGGAGAAAAATTTCCTGGCGCGGCACAGAGAGCCAACTTTCCTCGCGGTGGAAGAAGCAATTGACTCAATGTATTTGTTCCATTTCAGGTCAGCAGTCAACGTGTGACCGAGCAGACGCAGAGAGTGGCTCTCAAGAAGTTGACTATCAAACATTCTAATGGGGTGGGGAAGGGAAGGATCTCTATGGTGATTAATAGAGAGCAGTTTAGTTTTTGAGACGTTAAAGTTGACCAGCCAATTCTTGCCCCAATTAACAACCGATTGGAGGTCCATTTCAAGACGAGCGGCCAGGTTAGTTTTGTCACCGACACTAGATTTGTTTTTGAGGCAGGAGTAAATTGTAGTGTCTTCTGCGTAGATGCCAACTTGGGAATCTATGGTACCAGGACTACACTAAAAGCCTGTATGCTGTAATTAGCAATAACGATTACACTACAAAATATTATTAGATGATTTAATAAATATATTGTAAAATTTTGCGTTATTAAATATTGGTTTTTCTTCGAAGGATATTTGTATTGATTATTTTTCAAAATCTGATTGTTTGACTAAAACTTAAGCATATGTATTATTAGCAGTAAAATTTCATTAATCTGTGTTAAAAATACGTAAAGAAACATTTTTTGTAATGTGTTGTAAACTTTTGCGTAGCACTGTATGTACATTAATAAAATAACTCATAGTAAATCATTTTGATACATGTGAGTAATTAATAAATTTAAAAATAATTGCAGGTTTATTCAATAAGTTCACTGTGGTAGATGCTGGTCTGCGAGTATTTTTTTTATATTCGGCTTCATCGATGTCAATGATAGTCGAAAATTCCCCCTTTTCACAATGTCGAGTCTATTACTAAATTAATTTATATTAATATTTTATTTTATTTTATTAATATTTAAAATTAATATTATTATTTATTATTAATACATTAAATTAATTTATATAATAAACTATAATTTTTATATAATTTTCCTGTACAGTGTAACCCGGATATAAGAGACCCTGATATAAGAGAAACCCGGATATAAGAGAGATTTTCTCTGGTCCCAAATTAGAGCTTGTGTTAAAATAGACCAAACCCGGATATAAGAGAAACCCGGATATAAAAGACTTCTTCTCCGGTCCCGACAACTCTCTTATATCCGGGTTACACTGTATATATATATAATCCTACCTTTATACGTCCTTCTCAGTTATTATTCAACTTTTACAATCAAAGCATCTAGGAGAATAAAAGAGACGCTAAAACTAACATAGCTTGATCCTGTCTTCTGCTGGTTTTAGAAGTTTTTTTTCTATTTTTAGTATTTTAATATGGCGTAGATTACTGTAGAAATTCCATTTCTCAGTTGTAACAATCGTTTCGAATGAAAATTGCTCTCTATTGACGACTAAAATATTACCGTGGATAACCAATTTGTTATTTTTTTTTATAGACTCAGGTTTAGAACCAATGGTTTGATCTATGTATTTGAAGGGTTTTAGAAATGGCAAAAACTCTAAAACAAAAATCGGGTGTTCAAAAGCCGCAAATCTGAAAGTCATAGGTCGCCAACACTGTCTTGACACATAGCAGTGATTCAGGCATCCTCCTTTTCAAGTGTCCTGGACACTCTGTTTATATGTAAGTTGGAAAATCAATGATTGGTGGCACAGAATTTTGCATGACGTTTTCTGTATAAAGCAAGAATTCGCGCGCCCTTTTCCTTTTTCACCGGCAGAAAACACGTGCGACACGCAGTCGCTTGTTTTGACGAGTTAAGACGCCATTTTCTTCACCACATCTATCGGCCTGTCTAGTTCAGCGTTTCTCAACCGGGCAAAGTAACGCATCCTGAAAGGTAGCCAGATGTGCCCCAAGTTAACAGACAATTCATTTTAGAATTATTTTTATATTTAAAAACATATTTATTTTTTAAAAACTAGAGACACCAAGCACATTAGTTTCATGTCTAAATTTGATCATTTGATGAAAAATTAAGAAGAGATAAGTCTTAATTATTGGATGAAAAATGAAATAAGTTAAGTCTTCATAATTTGATTTAAGCTTAAAAGAGTTAAGTCTTTATAATTTGTTGTAAAATTTAAAAAAGTGAAGTCTTCATCATTTAGTGAAAATTTAAAAAAAAAATTAACATTCAAATTAAAATACCTGCATGTTAGATTTTAAAAATTAAAAAAGCTAAGTTTTCATTATTTGATATAAGCTTAAAAGAGTTAAATCCTTGTATATGTGTCTGCGACACATTATAATCTTAAATAATTATAATAATTATTAATTATAATAATAAATAAATCTTTATAATTTGATGTAAAATTTAAAAAAAAGTGAAGTCTTCATAATTTAGTGAAAATTTAAAAAAATTAACATTCAAGTTAAAATACCTGCATGTTAGATTTTTAAAATTTTTTTCACCCCAAGCAAGGCAGTAAAGCCACTGAGACACAAGGGGTTAGTCGGTGTGGAAGAGTT